CATGTCAGTATAGTATTGTATAACATAGTGCAACTTGTTGTTTAAATGTTTGCTGCGCTGTTTTTTGGATTATTTCTGTTTTCATTTGTATTTTTTTATGCCTTTTTTACAACGCGGCGTTGCAATAAATGATTTCTATTTCTATAATAATGGTCGAGACTTGCAATCCATTCGTTTATTAATCATCGACCCATCCGTCCCACTGCTGGGCACGGGTCTTTCGCTGGCCTAATGGGGTTTGGGGACATCACATCATATTAATTGCATGAAAAAATATTCAACACAAGCGCAGCTATTTTGCACGATTTAACCTTCACTGGGTTTGCGAATAGCAAATTAATTTACTTCCATTTTTATGGACATCACTCGTTTTCCGAGGGTTGTGAAACCCTTCTTCGACATGCATTTCATCACGATGTAATTATCTTCACCGAAAAGCTCAGTGTTTTTTTTGATTAGCATTAAAAAATATTTATCAGTTTTATTAATTTTGTGTGTAAAAATATTATATGAAATTTGACCAACTTCTGCTGTCCCGATTTTTTTCGTCCTATGCAATGAAATAATCCCTTTATGAAACTGAGTCGATCAGCAGTAAAAAAAATTTATCAATTTTATTCATTTTTATCATTGACTTAAAAATAAATGGACGACGGGTCTAATACAAAAACCACGAAAAAAATGTCCCAAGTCAACCTATTCGAAATTTAAATTGTAATGTCATCGCAGTATCGCGCTGTCAGTAGAACAAATGAAGACTAAAGCGGAGTGTCGCGCTCTGTATACGATTTTAGCGCCTTACAAGTGCGGACACTTTTTAGCGCGGACCCGACGTCCATATAATTGTAAGTCAATGATTTTTATAGACAATTTACGTTTGACCAAAAAATGTACTATGCCAAAATTGTTTTTTTTTTTTATAATATCAAGTGACGGGACGAACAAGTCGTACGCCTGATGGTAAGTTACACGCCTGTTCATAACAGTTACAGTGCCACTCAGAGCTTTAAATCGCAAAGATCTGAGGGGCACTGCCACTGCGCCCGTCGCACTGAGACATAAATTGACAAGTCCCATGTGCCTGTAATTTTACCAGCACCTTTACCCACAAAAAGCAGAACGCAGTAATGTGAGCCAATGCTCACAATGCGTACTGCTTTCTTACTAATAGTAAGAACGTCTCTGGACGAACTCATTACAAGAAATTAGTCAGAATGTTCGATTTAGTACTTAATTTATACAATGGGCTCTCCAGTAGCTTTTGAAATGTACACAAAAGAGCGCCGCAGATCGATCGTTTTATCATTAAATGACAAATCGAGTAATCGAGCAATCGATTAGATCGATTTATTGTTGCAGGAACTGTTGTCTTTTACAAAGTTAACCCCCATTAATCTTGTAAATGACCAACCATCTTACGTCAATTTATATCTTGTATTAGTATTACGTTTCGTTACGTTTCTCATGCAAAAATTATTATTCTCCTTAAAATAAATTACATTTTTAACTAACTTCAAAAAAAAGTTAGAGTAAAAGAGCTAGCACGACAGAGCCCGACTCGCGCGAGATCTCTATGCGAGAATAGCATAATATAACATAATATATCAGTTTCAGATTCAGATTCAGATTCATTTATTTCTCAAATATAACATTACAGTATAAATTGCACTACATGTCAAAGTATAAGAAATTATATTGAGATCGTCAGACAAAAAGGAAAATTATAAGAAAAGCACACAATAATTAGAAAATTAACAATTCATTATATAATATTGTTGTCATTAAATTACATATCAAATATCATTCTCCATCAAGGATCGTCATAAGTTGATAATTATACAAGAGCATGTTAATGCGGTAAAAATTAGAATAAAAACATAAAAATAGAAAATACTGAATTCGTTACAATTTAAAGTCCATAAATTTTTTTATCTCGCGCTTTGTGTCGTACTACTACCCCTACTGCTCTTTCAGTGTGACTTGACACCAACAGGTTTCTGTTCTTAACCGACTTCAAAAAAAGGAGGAGATTCTCAATTCAGCTGTATTTCTTTTTGTGTATGATTACTTTGGCATATGTGATCGATTTCGACGGTACCTCAATATTGGTCCTATTTAAATTTGAAGAAAATATTTTCCCCCTAAGGGTGGCAAACTGGCGGATGAATCCGATCTCGCGCACTTTCCGAATTCAATGAAACTTGGTTCTGCTGTAATTCCACAAACTTTTGAGGTTTTTTTTTATATAAAAGTTATCATTAATATGCTTTGATGCCAGTGTAATACTACTCAGAGACATTGGGGTTTCTTGTTTATCCTAGTAGCATACTTCTATTGATGTTGGCGGCATTTCCATGAAGCAAAAAAGCCGTATGTTGTGAAACTACGTAGCATCTATAATAAACCAACCTAGCGGCTTCTACGAAGTTTTTGTATTTTAGTGTTCGCGTACACTCCCGAGAAAAGCCGTTTCAACAAGGATTATTCATAGATTACGAATGACTTGTGAGTTGTCCAAATTTCCTATTATTAATACACGTCACTCCGCACTTAAACTACGGCTCAAGACCGTTATTAAGTCATAATTAATCAGTCAATTTATAAGCGCCGGGTCGTGGTGGATGATATAATGTAGGAGAGGGCGGGAGAGAGCATCGAAGAGGATCTTATGCCCGCTAGCGCATATTGATGAGGGATATCCTTTACTATACCGTGAGCGTCCGCCAGTGTACCGCAGTCTTTTTTTTTATAAAATGTAAGTGCGCATTTGACCTCCATCTCACCTGATGGAAAGTGACGATAAGGTCGTCGATGAAGTATGCACACCTAAATAATGTCTATTCACTCTCGCCTTTGGAATATCCACAACACAGGGGTGGAGGAACCCAGGCCTACGACTAGTCCACCGGTGATGGAAAGGGGAAGGCGGAATTAAATCGTGTAATTCCAACTCTCCGTGATATATCCTGTAAAATACCGATAAGCAGACAACTTTACGGCGGTGTTCAAGGCTCTGCAGCTTCTCCTCCACTAATTCCGAGTCGCCTATCAGCCTCTTGGCACGGTTGTCAATTGAATCCAAGGTGGCCAGTTGATATTTAGCAGAGTCATCCGAAAGCAGTGCTTCATACACGACCGAACTTGTGCTTGGTACAGCTGAAGCAACTTTCCCGGTGTAAAGTAACGCCTCACCCTAGAAAGGATGCCAAGCTTCCTTGCTGCGTTTTTGGCCAGAGTCTGTTATAACACAGATACATATGGAGTTCTTAGGCTGGTTTCAATGCGGATTTATCTGCGGACGGAGTAACACGTGTGGCGTTAGAATATCGTTTTACTGTGACGCGGATTGGTTCATACGGAACACGCACCGCGTCAACTCCGCACACGCCCACGGGTGGCTACCCGTGCATTCTTTGTAGGCGACTGTCTTCCGTGAATATACGCTCTAAATTAAATATTCGATTTAGCACAACTGTGAAACCAGCCTCATGTTAAAATGGTACAGTCAGCAAGATAAAAGATAACTTTCAAGAAACTTTTTTCCTCATGCAATTCGATTTTGCTTCCGGTAATATTCAAAAGTCTATATGAGATCAATTGAGGTAAAAATATTAGACATGTATTACAAAAAAAAATACCATACATTTAGTAGGGATGTTTAATAATCAATCATTCTTGAATAATTCGACAAAAATCTTTACTAAAATACCCGAAATTATCAAATACGTCATCATTTATAAATTCATACCCAAATTCTCATGTAAGAATGGCATAAGTGGAGTTTCGTTAGAAACAGAGTACTTTAAAAAACCGACTTCAAAAGTCATCCCCTAGTTTGCTACTCTTAGAGGTGAATATTTTCTTCAAATTTAAATGGGACCACTTCTGAGGTACCTCTTTCCAACGAAAAAAGAATCATCAAAATCGTTCCACGAATGCCGTTCGTTATCTTTAAGACATTTAAAAAAACATACCCCTTTTTTGAAGTCGGATAAAATATAACCACATCCGCTTCAATTCTTATAATTCCATTGAGTAATATTGTAGATAGAGTTACAAGAATTGGAGAGGTTGTGGGTTATATTTTTCTGAATCTAATGGAGCAATAAACATTTTTGACGTAACGTGAATTTTTGAATGATAAGACTAACTAAATAACTACATAAATAACAATACTCTTTAAACATTCTATCATGACATGACCCATGTACATGTTTTCCACTTTTATAATTATTGACATTACTTTACGCTGATTGGCTAATACTTTCAGTATGATGGCAAATATTATAGTGTACGTTATCGATACGCTAAGAAGAAGACTGAAAAGGAAACTAACATAATTTAACACTATTACCATTAGCCGAAGCAATGAGGATAATAATCCTTATTGTTTGTTCGCAAACGTGTTAACTCGAGCTAATCTCGTTAGCAATTTGACGCGTTAGATTTTTGTGGTGTGTCGTTTCTAGAATAAATGTGAAGGCGGTGCTATTAGATAAGGCACGTTACATTTATTTTTATTGAATATCCAGTTGTATTTATTACCATGATATTCACATATTTTTATGAAATTCATTTGTTACTTCATTAATTTGTAACTTAAATTCTTAAGGCGTCTTTTTCAAATTTATCGATCTCTTCACATTTTCCAACAATTAAACAAATAAAAAATATATAATTATTCGCACCTCTCATGGAAGAATGGCTTAAGTGGAGTTAGGTAAAAAACGTTTATTGGTCCATTAGGTACAGAAAAGTATAAACCACGGCGTCTCCAATTGTTGTATAACTCTCTCGACTAATATTGTAAATAGAGTTACAAGGGTTACAACAATGGGTTATATTTTTCTATATGTAATGGAGCAATAAATATGTTTGACATAACTCCACTTGTGCCATTCTTCCATGAGGAGTACGTATATTAGAAAATAAAGCACTTTTTTGACTTATGTGCTTTAGTCCGCCGACCCAAGATTTATTTGTGACAAATAATACTGTACCTCAGGACTGACGTCAGTGAAGTTGGCGCTGGAGACAAACTCTCGCAGGAACCCGTCCAGCTCTGTGCCTTCAATGTAGCCATTACCTGTGGATAAAAAAAGTACTGAAGGTTTGTTTTTTAACGTATAAATCTTACCTTTGCTATAATAAAACTACATGTCATGGTTATACGTCCAAAGTTGCTTTTATCACACGAAATTCGTAGCAGTCGTAGTCGTGGTTTAGTACCGGTAGAGCTCATAGTGAAAGAGTACATCCAGGGAAGTACTGCCACCTTACCTATTTCTGCCGTCAAGCAGTAAAGTCAGCAGTACTGTGTTCCGGTTTCGAAGGGTAACGGTGGTGGTGAAATTGCTGGCACATGTCTCAGAGTGACAGGCGCAGTGGCAGTGCCTCTGAGATCTTTGCGATTTAAAGCTCTGAGTTGTACTGCTTAAAGTGTGAAAATTTGAACCGTAAATACTCTGATCTGCCCCCGTAGCAAGACTATGCATGATAGTCGCGACACGTGCGATATAATTGAAATAAGCGCGCGCTATTGGCTATCTAAATTAGATCTGATTGAGACAGCCAATAGCGCGCACTTATTCCAATTTTATCGCGCGCGTCGTGACTTTCATGCGTAGCCATGCTATAGGGGCTGATTTGTCTAAAGCACGTTTTTTAAAATCAGAAAAAATTTGATAGATAGATGATACACTTTATTGCTCACACACAAGAACAAAAACAGTACATAAACAACTTAGAATTAATATGGGCAAAGGCGGCCTTATCGCTAAGGGCGCTATATACCAGACAAACTTTGAGGTAGATGAAAGCTAATCAGAGCGGGAGACGTAGTGTGCCAATGCATGAACAAAAACTTACATGTAATTTATTTTAGTATTTTAGTTGCAGTAGAGCACCTTGTGAAAGAGTTCGCCCAGGGAAGTGCTGCCACCTTACCTATTTCTGCCGCCAAGCAGTAATGTTACTGTGTTCCGGTTTTGAAAGGTAAGGATGTTAGTGAAATTACACGCACATGGGACTTATCAACTTATGTCTCAGGGTGAAGGGCACAGCGGCAATGCCCCTCAGATCTTTGCGATTTAAAGCTCTGAGTAACACTGCAACTGATATGGACAGGCGTGTAGTGTTACCATCAGGCGCACGACTTGTTCGTCATATAAAAAACTGGAGTGAATTTCGTTGCTCTAGTACCTACTCAAAATACAGAGAATGAGTGAATTCCGTTGCTCTAGTACTCATAATACAGGTAATTCCCTGTTTGAGGTAAGTTGTAGGTGTGATTTTCTGGCAAATTAATATTATTTCGGATATCTACTTCAGACTCTCGCCTCTCCCATGGCCTATATCATAGGTCCCCAAACTTTTTGGATCACCGCCAATTTAGGCAGGATAAAAAAATTTCAACGCTCACCACCACAACAAATAATTGAAAACGCGTATTTTTTAATTTCACTTACCACAAATAATCAAGGAAAAAAATCATATGTAGTGTAGTTTATACAGATAATTCATCCCCCCTAGGACTCTTTAGCACCCACTAGGGGGCGGTAGGGACCACTTTGGGGACTATGGCCTAGACATCGAGTAAATAACCAGAAATAGAGACGAAATAAGGACTCCAAGGAACTCAAGGATCCATCCTTGACAACTCATCAGTCAAATGGTACTGATATCACTTTTAAATATCAACTCTCGTTTGCGGTGAAATCACAAATTAGAAATCTGAAATAGTACAGCGCCAACAAGTGACCTGTATACGTCTCCGTATATTCCAAAAATATTCCGTATTTATTGCAATAAAATATACCTCTAACTATGGGGGCTGTTCCATTCGGTGGTATAGGAAAAACAGCAAAACATCTAATCACAAAACAAACAGAATCATATTTCATCTGTAATTAAATATTAAATTCCATTATAGCAAAGCCTAACTTAAACGGGTCAATTTGAAGTGAAACAAATGACTTTTGAATTCGGGCTGGCCAATCGGAGCGCATTTATTATCGTAATGATTTGGCAGAATAGTTTTCAAACAAATTAATGACATTTCGTCTCTATTTCTGGTTATATACTCGGTGGGCCTGGATGATAAATTTTAATAGGATAGTCGGTATTCTCCGACTTTAAGGCGCAAATGGGGAAATATGTCATTTATTTATTTTTATTTTCACTATCACCAAAATAAATTAAAAAAGCACTGGTATCATAAACAAAATATGATGAAAGATATTTAATGGGTAAACCCAACTTTTCATAATCGAAATTTCTACTCGTTGAGACAAACAGAACGTCTCGCTGGAGACACCAAAAATTTTCCCACAAAATTATTGTCAAGTTATTTTCATATTACCAACCGAATTTTAGGGCGAGGGCTCTTGAAATATGAAATTCCATTTATAAAATATTATAAGGCCGAAGTAATTCCCTAAGGCATTATAGGTCATATTGCCTAATCCGTTATAGAGCATTTTAGAAACCATTTTAGCGAATAGTATTTGAATTTCAAAGGTTTTATGATTTCAAACATTTTTGTCGGTATAAAAAGACCATAAAGAGAAGATATATATATATATATATATATATATATATATAGGTGTGTGTATAGTAGTATGTATATGTATATAATATATGTATAGTTCTATGTACAGTTTTATAGTTATATATAAACTGTCTGTGGTTAATAGACTCCCGCTCGCTCCCGATTTTCTTTTGGTGATAAAGTACATATAAGAGCTATACTTTGTCCTTATGCAGCGCCAGCACTAGCCCATGCAACTTGGGTGCAATAGTACACTTGCGCCCTCTAGTAGGCACGCGATCAAAATGGAATTATATTTTCCCCAGTGATCGGAAATTCGGGTATAAATGGTGTACCTAATTATAAATAATGTCCTAAGGCTACAAGTTCCTATGGAAGCGAGTTCTGACGACTTCGTCCAAATAACAAACGCCTGTTTTTCAATGAGAATGTTTACACTGGCAGCGATGAACATGTCAGAACATGCACGATGTCGTCAGAATACAGTGTCCATGCCAGCACTGATCAAGCATTGACGTCGTGTAAATACTAGTTCATATTAAGTCAGCTGGCGGGTCAGCACGCCGAGAATTGAATGGCTATTTATTTTTCGTGCCTGTAACTTCCCTTCGTTTCATCGCAATCTGTATAAACAATCCGATCTATTCACTGGCGCCAACTCGTACGTGGAATTGACATAGGATTCTTTGGATATACAAATGGAATTAAGATGAAACCTTGACGCTTCTTCAACCATAAATATAGCAGGGGTGTTTGTGTAACAACTTTAGAGTCATATATCAGCGCTATAACAGTCTTTTTGCGAATGAAACAGTGTGGAAGATTGAAGAAATAGTTAGAAATCTACTCAGCCCGTAACCTAGCGACTTTTACTATTACTAATCATTCGAATGGGCAAATCATTCGCCTAAGTCGAATCCAAGCACAATCATTCGACTCGAGTCGATTGATTACAATACCGAATGCCCCTGCCGAATGGTCGGGTGCACGAGTCGAACGATTATTATATCGGAACACCTCATTCCTCATGTCCATACCAAAATATCCCTGTCCCCGTCACATTTACATTATTTACCATATGTCAGAGAGGGCTAGGTGATCACGAGCAGAAATGCTCTATGGAATCTATGGATTAGTACTACTAATTATTAATGAATGATCATTCAAATCATACGAATACTACAATTAGTAGTTTACTTATTTGACATTCGAATGACAGGATTAGCGATTATCATTCACCATCGCGCATCGTTACCGTAACCTTATAAGAGTGACACATAATATTAAAACTATTTTTTAAATCAGACAATCTCTAATGAGCAGCTGGTAGCTGTAAAGTTACCTGGTTGAGTGAAGAAAAACTTTCATAGATTTCACACAGATGGTGCTACTGCAAAATTGTGGTTAAAAACAAAAAAAAAAACTACAATAAGCACATATAAAACTCGTAACTCTGCTGGTTCGTTCCGTAGCTCGGATGGGAGAATATCAGGCAAGATATGCTGAAGGCGCTGATTCGAATCAGGCCTGATCGAAGGAATTTTTCTTAGTGTTCGATCTTTGTGGAGTACTTTCACAAAAAAAAATAGAACGTCATGGTAGTAAAACAGTGATATCAATAAACTTAATACGTATTACACTTTTTTCAATAGTTGACTTTTTTATATTGAATTTATTGTTGAACGTGTGGACGGCTCTAGAACGAAAGCGATTAGCTGAACCAGTGTTGTTGCAAATATCAGCATCTGCATCCGCATTCGATGCTGATATTCATTGCGGATGTTCGAAAAGGTACGCTGGAATAATTTACAAACGTTCCAGAAGAAGTTCGTTGTTTTTCAAATATAACTTGATACAATTCCATTACGATAAAGCTAGGCAGATTGATTCTTTTATACAAATACAAAAATCCTTTATTGCCACAATGGTACTTTTTGGACATAAATAACATGTTAAGCCAAAACATCAACAAGCAAAAAACGGTACGCCAAACATGTCAGAGCGCAAAAGGAGGTGTCTCAGCTTGTGCTGCCTGGAACCGTTGTTGTCGCAGTCAGCGCTGTTTTTCCTTGTCTCCTAAAGTCTTAGGCGGGCCTAAATGCAACAAGGACCTAAAACAATTAATAAGTTTAAAAAAACTATAATTCAATATTATATAATAATATAATATTATTATACATTGGGGAAGACTAGTTAATTTTAATGAAAAAAAAGCAACAAAAAATAAGAGAAAACAAAAATGAAATATATACCATAAAACCAATATAAAGCGTTTTCATATAGACAGATTGAGTAAAGATGTATATTTTTGTCATTTTTTTTAAATACACAAAATCAGCATCCGCTGATGTGCAAAAACCCTGCTTCAGCCAGCGCTGGCATGCTAGTGGAACTGGCGCCATTACGCGGGCAGGTAAGCCACGAGGATTGATGTACCGATATTGATTACCGTTGCCGGTACATCGTTAAGTTCGGCTATTGTTGACCCGACACGTGTGTGACCTGCTTTAGTGCCCTAGGGATGCTCTATGTGAAAT